CCCTCCTCAGTGGTTTCTGAACTGTACGCATTGATGCTCACGGTGTCCTCTGCTGCTCCTCAAGCTCACTGCCAGTGCCACCTCCCTCCAGTCGTGAGAAATCATTTACTTGTCATCCTCAGGTTCATTTTCCCTTTTCAGATTTACCAGTTCTCCTCTACCATACAAAAGGCCATGTGAGATAAAACCTCTTCCATAGCTTTCTTCCAACCTGAAATTCTTTTTTACTGCATACCAAATCCAAAACAAACATTGCAACATAACCAGACAGAAATGAGAACGTTATTTCTCTGTAATTCTTTTCTAGAACAAAGCTTTTCCTAGCTTAGTCTTCTCAGACAGTATCAGAAGGCTAAAATATCTTCTTTGCCCCCTCAGAAACAGGCCAGGCATCTTGTAATAACTTACAAAATGGCAAACTGCACCATACACATAAAGATGAAAAAATAGTCACATAAGACAGACATCAGTCTACCTGTAATTAGATACTCAGACGGGTACAACGGTTGACTTTTCCTATGTGTGACTTGCCCAGATCTAGAGAGCTTTTGAAGTGTTACAGATTATCTATCAAGAAGTGGGGTGAGAAGCACTTTTGAGCTCTGTATATAATTAAGCCTATTGCGCTCAGTAAGCAAACCACACTTATATACAGGAAACCAGAGATAACGAAACCCATGAAGTCAGAATTCAGACATGAAAAAGTTTGAAAATAGGAAGTCTTCCATTACAGCATGCAACTTAATTCTGAGTATCTCGTTGCTAAAACCTTTTCAGCTTTCAGATGCATCGAGATTCTAGGAGGCTGGTGAAGCATGGAATGGGCTGAAATCCATTTCCATTCTTATGTCTTTTACTTTTCAGCCATTGGTGAAGACAGGAGAAAGGAAAATACACACGTAGTGTTTTCTTAAAAGACAATTAATAAGCATGTTTAGTCTATAATATAAAATACGTTATTTGGGTAATTGCAAAATATTGGCTAGGAAATACATAGTATCTAATATTCAGGCAGTGTTGCAAGATAAACATCAGCAACTACATGTTGGGACCTTTTCTTCCAAGCAGCATATCATTTGCAATGGAAAACCAAAGGCTACCAAACAGTTTTGTCAGGAAGCTAGGAACAGGGTGGTGACTGGTGACAAATACTTTGACAGTCATGCAGGGGGAAAATGAAAGGCAAAGGGTGAGTACAGGTAAAAGAAATTTGCCAAGGTCTGAAAGGAAAGACAAATATGGTTCCAGAAATTACGACTAAGATAATGGAAGTTGAATGGAAAGACGTTACACATCTCTTTCTAGCAATATGGTTGTTGTGGACTTCTTGGAATGAAAACAGAATACATCCCCCCATCCATGAGATGGATGTCTTAGATCAGTAGGCAAAAATGAAGAGGGGAAAAATGCAGAGCTAAGAGAGAAATAGAAATAAGGCAGGGCAAGAAAATGAAGTAAAAATAGAATGAGTGAAATAAAAGAACGAAAAATGAGCTAAAATAACTAAGAAAAATATGAAGCTCTAAAGTTACGGAATATAAGAGGAAGAAAGTCCATGAAAGTACAGGGAAACTGAAAGAAATGTAAGAGAGGAGAACATAATCTTCTACTATGCAAATTACATTCCTTTAGAATGAACAGATATTTAATTTTGATTGACTTAATCCTCCCCCAGTGCCAGGAAAGCCTACACTTCTTGACTTTCATCAAAAATACAATTATTTTTGAGAAAAAGAAAAATCAAGTCAGAACATTTACTATGTACAATAAAAGTATAGTACTGCATTCAGTATATGCCCACCCTAACAGTGGGAATGAATATCTTCCTTTTGTGAAGATGTAAGGAATTCTATCTAATCAAGAGCAAGAAGGAGAATAATAGAAAGCGTTAACCTTGCTGAAAGCAAACCAAATATTTCATCCTCGTTCTTCCAAGTTTCAAAATTAAAGTGTCACTGTTTCAGTAATAAGAATAATGATGAAATTGCGTGAAACGAGGAGCATAAGAATTTAAAACAATAGATACCAAAACATACATTTAAGATCTTTCACATTACTGCATTCAACATCAACTGAGAAGGATGAAGCAGAGATTTAACCATTTCTAGCAAACGCAATTAAGATGTGGAAGCTGGCCAACTGTTCTAAGACTTTTTATAAACTTGTACTACTTCACTACGTAGAAAAGATGCAACATTTAACTAGATAGAGCACCGAACTAGTTGAACAAAGTCTTTTTTTCCTCTACGGAGTAATGGTTTGATTTTGTTAGTCCTGATGTCTCGCTCTTAACATTGCATGATATCGAACATTTAGGTTTTAAAGTGATCTAATTCATATTCTGAAAGCTGTTGTATATGCAATGAAATCAGTAACTTTGTTCGCTTCTGGGAAGTAGAAAAGTATTTTACTGCCTCCAAAATGTCCTCCCCTTCCCAGACCGTGCACTGCCAGTTACCATGATGCGATTGCGAGGCCTGCGAGGTATTGCAGGAAGGCGGGTGTCAATACTGCCATACAGCAAATAACAAGGTTAGTGTTCACGTTATAACACCATAGCTGTGCACTGTAATGCTCGTGTCTCAGCACTTAAGTCTTTTTATATTTCTATCCCTTTAGTTCCATCTCAATTACTGAAACACTCGATGGGGATGGTATTTCCCTAGTCAGTTTGTATACCTTATTCTATTTAAAAGCAGGTCTGTGGGACAGAGCATCTCTTGCTTAGTGTAAACACAGCATCTCTGAAAAGAGAGCAGTTTGTTAGGTGGTTTGACACAGCTGAAACAGACATAATAGGTGTGATCGGTGTTTCATCTTGTTACATGTACATTTAATTTACTGTTTAATGCATCAAAGTATACGAAAAAATCTAGATCGATCACTATATTAGCAAGAATATTTCTGAACACTGGACAACTTTTAGGAATGCCATCATGCTCCTACTCTTGTGAAGTGTCTATTAATATTGCACTGAATTAAACAGAAAAAGTATGAAAGATCATAAGAGAATCACAGCCACTGAAGGAAGATCAGTAGATCAGCATCATTCTTCAAAATAAGTTATTATTGCAGGTGAATCGTTAGACAGGATTCTATAGCTGTGGCTTGGCAAAGAAACTAATACAAGGAGATGTGTACTGAAGCCAGAAAGCTGCTGTACTACAAAAAGAGCAGAAAAGCAAAGTAGTAAGCATTTTTGTCTTTCAAATAAAACAGCTTTATGACTCCTTTAAAATACAAAAATAGAAAGAAGTGAAAGAACCTCAGGTTAGGGGCAACTCCTAGTGAAATGGTGACAACAGAACAATCTGTCAAGATTCCTGGTAGAAATAGCTATAATACACATCTGTATCATTTCCAGTACAATGTTTCTAGTTCTATTCCACTGTAACCCAATCTGCTTCATAAAAGCAAAGTCAGACAGTGAAAGATGCTAAGCTGGTTCTGGAATAATTGTCTGTTAAATCAGGTCAGTGAATTCTGAGAAATGAACATGGACTAATTAAAACAGAACTCTATCTGCCTATAAAGTACATGGAGATCAGAGGCAAAGGATTTACATGCGTGTGCTTCAAAAGTTGCATAAGTGCTCCCACTGTCATGATGCATTCAATTTATTGTTGGGTTGGGCAGGAGGCTTCAAAACTATTTTAATGCTTTTAGCTGTTAGGTTTTCTATTACTCTCTGACTTGGCTCACAGTGAGAAGCAAGTCCTTTTACTTTTTTCTTCATCTTTTAGCCATATAACAGAGGTAATAAGGAAGAATTTTGGACGCAGGATCCCAAATTGGACCATGCTATTACTATTTTCTTTCTGTTATTGAAGTTGATGTAGCTGTTAAGTCTCAGTTGGCTTTCTGGATATTCCAAAAGGTGGGAGGACTAGACCCATCTCAAAGTTTCCAGTGTAGCTATGAATAATTCATCAATTTTACAGTTTAAATATTACAGCTATGTTTAGCTTTCTCATGAACAAACACAAAGAAAAGGAAATTAACTTTGTGCTGAAAAAAAATCAGGTTCATACCACAGAAAAAAAAGTCATGCCTGGTTAACCTGAAGTGCTACCATGCCTGGCACTGCTGCTTTTTTTCTTCTTGGAGTAAGAACTGACATCTTTTCTATGTCTACAAAATAGTTTGCTAATCAATTCAGCCACAAATGGAAAGTTATTCACATGAAGGCAATGAGAAAGATCTTCCTGAAAAGTTCTTCTAGTAGTAGATACCTGTGTAAACTCACTTCATGGTAGTGCAAATAAAGCAAATTACTTTTCACAGTTCCCTAGATTAGAGAATGAAATAAATATATTTTCAAGAAAAGAAATTTTATCGAACCTGTCTTATTTTTTAATGTAGTAACATCTAGTGGGACACGGTGGCAGTCTGGTTTGATAATCACCGTGCGAGCAGTAATGTATGACAGCCAGCACAGCAAGCAGATAGCTGAGACAAATGTAAATGGGAAGAGGGAATACAAAGAGTCACAGAAAGACAAGAACATGCCAGAAACAGGCATCAGGCCCTGTGGATGCCTCTTTCCTCTGCCATATACCATTGTGGTTTCCATATACGTTACATCCTAGCACTTGCTAAAACGTTTAATGTATTGAGCACACTGTAGTAAGAAATGCTGGTGTGATCTACAGTTCAAATAGCAATGGAGACCTTTAGCCCTTTAGCCCTTTAGGATAAAAACTGTTCTGTGTAGTCGTTGTAGTGCATCAGTATCAAAAAAGCCAGAAGGAAAAAACCCACAAACCGTCTGCTCCCAGGAGCAGTCCTATACAGTTATAATGGTTTTATAGTAAATTGTCTGTAACAATTGCCTGCCATTAAATTGCAACAATTTAGAGGTACTGGGAAAGCATAATGGATCAGAGGGAGCCAAATTTTTATTAAGCAAAAGGAAAGAAAGGGCTTGTTCATTTACCTTTTCCATTGTTGGTGTTCTGTGGGTGAATGCGGCACAAGGCGATCATTCACAATAACCGGCGATGGCGCCCGCGAAGGAGGACGCTCTTTACCCCCCACCTATGTTTGAACAGGACTCCAGAAAGACAAGGAATAATTTTTCCTCCCTAGAGCTGGGCACCCTGCGCGGGCCTCACACCTGAATGGGACCATGGCACATGGGTTGGTTTCTGATCCTGCAGCAGGGAAGAGGAGACACTGAAGAAATCATAAAAAACTAACCCAGAATGGGGATGTGCTCATGTGTTTACATGCATTTGTTTAAGACAAAATTCACCCTGTCCCTCACCGTGTGTCTTCTGTTGATCTATGTTGTCTGCTCGTATTTTGAGCAATTTGAGCAAGGGGCCTTTTTCTAGATTTCAGTCATGTGGTACAAAAAAAGTTCCCATCATTTGTGTTGGGGTTTTTTTATTCTATACTCTAGATACTAGTGCCAGTTTCTCCTCATTTTTCTCCACTCACCCAGCAGTCTTTCTTCTTGGAACAGCAGCAGGACTGTGACTGCAGTATGTCTCATGCTTCTCATAGAGTTCCCCTATAGCTGTTTATGTAGCATCCTTCACTTCAGTGTTCTGCATCCCGCATCAGGCAACGCTGGAGGAGAAATGCCATGACCAGAGGCTGTGCATTTGCAATACTGTGCTTTTGGGGAGTAACCTAGATATAGTCTTCGTTATGCTGGGTGTAATATGCATACATACCCTGTCTGGCAGAACCTTGTATTCAAGAAATTCAGAGGAGGAAGAATAGGAAATAGCATTGCCCTTATTTAAAAAGTGAGAACTGAAGCACAGTTTCTTCCCCACCAAGATCAAAATTTACATCTGTGGCATGTAAAAGGAACAAATCTCAGAATAACAAGTCTGAGACACTTGCTTCTTGTGGGGGATAGCTGAGACACATGAACTGGGCTTCTTGAGGAATTTGACTTCATACTTTCCCAGCAGTAAGGCCTCAAGGTGTTGCATATTTTTGGAATGGTATGTTAAGTTCAGCTGATTTACCTTTAGTAATTTTTTATGAAAAGCAGTAATTAAAGATGAAGCATTACAAAGCTTATTTTTGCACACAATACTTTTGAAGTTCATGAAGCTATTAAGTCTTGGACACTCTCTAGTGTATTAGACAACATTAGTGATTTACATTATTTTGAAGTTGCAAGTAAGTTTTCAAGGGTAATGGATTTCATATAGAGAGATAAAAAGATAAAGTTCCTTCAATTACGCCTGCTGACTTTTTTTCCCCCTATCATACTACATTTAGCAAAATGGATAAGGCAGAAAGGGTGCTGGTGTGTTTTTATGTTAATTAATGTATTTTAATTTCAAATAGTATTTTTGAAGCTCAGATAGCTTCCAAAAAAGCAGTGCCAGGGCAAAACTAATGAATTTTAATTCTTTTCAGTATACTTCTGCTTTCATGAATTCTTTTTATTATGTTCCGATGCCTGAGAATGCAGCAGTAGGCATTCAGAGCATGAAGCCCACAGATCTGATTTTTACAGAAATCCGGTTTAACTTTTTTAGCTACATAATAAAGCTCACCTCGCAAGTGTGTTATTTTTAATGACCAATTGGGTAATAGCTAGAAAAATACGTACTTCAGGAAAGTGGACCAACTTTTTAAAGATTTTTTTTTAAACAGCACATTGTAAGTGACAAGTAAGCTTTCTGCACAAAAGATGCATTTAACTCTTTTGCAGCCAAACCCCGCTATTCTCAGACAAATTTTAAGGGTGTGCCGGCTCTTGTCTCAGAAGGGCTGCAGCTAATAACTTACCCCTGCTCAGGTACATTACTTAGAGCAGAACGATGTATCCCTTAGGTAGTTAAACTCTGGAACTTCACTGCTTTAACCCTACTCGTCTACATCTTGGAGTGCCTTGGAAAACTCAGCTCCTTGGCAGCGCAGTTTTGGCCGTGATGCTGTGAAACAGAAATCTCCACGGACTCTATAGTATGCCCACAGCTTCCAGAGCTGCTGTGGTGACTATATTCTAATGCTAACGTTGAGGTCCACGAGAAACAGCCTTTTCTAATAGCATGGTCCATGTATCACACTGCTGTAATCCCAGCCAATTTTAATAACTGCTCCCCTGGCCTGCTGTAATTCACTTGTGCGTGCTGTCAGGAATAGGACACAAAAAACCAGTTTGGTCCTTTGTATAATGCTTGCCAGATCAAGTAATATAAAAATCAATGATGTTCTTGAGAAGGATTTTTGTTACTCATCAGAACAGGTCATGAAATGATGCTGCTTTATCCTTCCAAAACTGTAGCGTACCTGAGCGCTTGTATAAAAGCAGCAGCACTGGCCATAATTTACTGCATTGCAGTAAAATCAACAGTGCAGCATTCCACAGAGCCAGGCAAATACTCATATTTGATTTGCTAGGTGAATAGAGAAAGAAAAAATGCTCAGGATAAAAAGAGTTTTAATCACGTTACTATACTTCTTGTTTGTAACCCTCCAAAACCTTCACTGTGTAACTAAACACTGGTACCTCTCGAAACCAAAATGTTGTTCTGAAAACTGGTTAGAAACCATTTCTTTTACAAGTAACAAAGTGAATCACACTGATTTTTCTCAAAATTCTTTCTTTTGAGGGGAGAAAAAAAAAGAACAATTTGAGAAGTTAACGGTAACTCATAGGGAAGTTCCAGTTGAGCAGAAACCAAATTTCAAAGTAAAAACATTAGGTGTAAAAAAAAAAAGGCAGCATCCAATTCCATCTAATAGAAACTCTTCATAGGTAGAAAGAAAATAAAAAAATTTTCTGTAGTTGAGAGTAAACACAAACTTAGTATATTGCTGTGCAGTTGCATAGGGCTGTAGTGTGGGTTTTTTTTTTTTTTAATTAGAAAAAAATACAAAGTTTTAAGCTATCACAGTTTAGGAAACGTAGAAGTTGTCAACAAATGACTCTTTTTTTTTTTTTTAAATCTATGAAAACTCGACACATTATAAACATTTTTCTTGTCTGCTTACAGTCTACCACCCTAAACTTAGCTTCTGGTAAAACTATGGGTTTTGGGCCAGGCCTTCTTGAACTGGCACTGTGATAAGTTGTTATTTTGTTCAGTAAAAGTTTAAATGTTGAATAAATATAATTTCTTTCTAATTAAATGATGATAAAAAGAATTATTGTAGTATTGAAATAATCTACTCTTGGCATAAGTTTGCAGTTTGTTGTTCCCCTCTGAAACACGAAGGTAAGAAAGACAACCCATCATCTCAGTTCAGCAGCAGGCATGACTGTGTGCGTGTTTTAATATAACGTGTGCTCAGTACAAAAAGGGGTAGGCTTTGCAGAGAGAGCATTCATCTGTACTCCTGGATTTCCTTAGTTAGCCAAGTAAAATTTAGGTTTCAGAATTTCCTTAAAAGCCAAAAAATTAGTTATCTGCACGAAAATTTTACAAATTAATTAAAATTAGAGTCTGTTGTGGTCAATGGGAGATTTCCTTCTAGAATAAAAGACCCTTTACACAGAATATCAATAATAAATTTTCAAATGAAAGACACATGAATTTACAAGTTTGAAATAAATCCAGCGAGAGGACTGAAAAATGTAAAATAGAAACCTTAGCCAAAGACGTTTTGGTTTAGGGCAGACTGCGTGAAATAACTTTCATCCGTGAACCACTGCACTGCATAGTAACTGTATGTTATCATTCTAGGTACCTGGGAATAACGAGACCGCTTACGTATCCTGTAAGGCAGAACGGGAAGTGTATGGCCAAAATGATCCTGTGCGTATGGCTCTTATCTGCCTCTATCACTATCCCCCCACTCTTTGGTTGGGCCCAAAACGTAAACGATGAAAAGGTTTGTTTGATCAGTCAAGACTTCGGCTACACCATTTACTCCACGGCAGTTGCATTTTATATTCCAATGTCGGTGATGCTTTTCATGTACTACCAGATTTACAAAGCTGCCAAGAGGAGTGCTGCTAAACACAAGTTTGCTGGATTTCCCCGGCCAGAAGAAATGGAAGGGATTTCTATGAATGGAGTTGTAAAACTGCACAAGGAATCTGAAGAATGTACTAATTTTTCACGTCTCCTAAAGCATGACAAGAAAAACATTTCCATCTTTAAAAGAGAACAGAAAGCTGCCACTACGCTTGGGATTATTGTTGGGGCTTTCACTGTCTGCTGGCTGCCCTTCTTCCTCCTCTCAACCGCCAGGCCCTTCATCTGTGGTACAGCATGCAGCTGTATCCCACTGTGGGTTGAGAGAACATTTCTATGGTTGGGTTATGCAAACTCTCTCATTAACCCTTTTATATATGCCTTCTTCAATCGGGACTTGAGGACAACTTACCGCAACCTACTGCAATGCAGATACAGGAATATCAATCGGAAACTGTCAGCTGCAGGGATGCATGAGGCTCTGAAGCTTGCAGAAAAACCAGAATTTGTTCTGTAAGGTCACTCATCTTTACTATGATAATTTATTGTTTCACCACATTAGTTTTTTCTCCACAGATTTGAAAGAAGGGTTATAGGAAGAACCAGGCTTCTTGAGCACCGTTAATGAGGTCATCAAGAAACTGGAAGGTAGCAAGGTTAATTCCTGTACAGCCCACCAGTCCTAGCAAGCCTGGAGAAACAAGACGACCATATAAAGAATGTGGGTCTAAGAGGACCAGAAAGGGGGAGGGGTAAAAGGTGGTGCAGAATGTTTGAGTTGCTAATGAGGAAAGAGCAAAGTTGGCCTAACCCATTTGTTTGGCCCTTGGCCCCAAACAACTTTTAGTGGGTCTGAATGTTGGATGCATCTTGTATCCTAGAGATTTTTGCTATAACAAAGACCTAAGGATTGTGAAAAGTTCATTATAATTCATTTCTTTCCACTTTTTTATTATGAAAATAAACCATTTAAAGATGAAGCTGGAACAAAGAACTTGTATTGGTTAGAAAAACTCTATTATAAAAAAACCCCATGTCCATTAAATGTTAATTTCCTGGATTGCCTGGAAATAAACTATTTTGTGAAATTTAATGTTGCCTTTGCACAGCAACTATGGCACTGAAAGAATATGTTACAATTGCAATGTGAATACAAGAGTTTGAGTAAAGTCACAGGGACCTACATCTACTTCTGCATACAGTCATGCAGCACAATTAGCTGCCATGCTGCTATGCGCATTACACCAGGTGGAGGTCTTATCCTAGATTGCTAACAGAACAAATACGCCTGACTACAGTTTATTTCAGGAGCTGTCTGGTCTTTATCCATCTTTTCTTTCTTTAATTCTCTTGGCTTTATCAGTTGAGCCCTTCTCTAATCTAGATGAAGACTCTCTGTTCAACGCTTGGTTTCTGTTGATGCATGGCTAGTCCTCGTTCCACTTCAGTAGTTAATTTATTGTCTATTTGAAAGCTTTTCTTGCTTCTTGGGATTTCTTTCTGTTTTGAAGTCGGTAAGGAAAAAATAAACTGAGGACATGATGACATTCATAGACATCTGGACTTTATCCTTACAAACTGATTTTGGTCATCACTTCTGCTCAAAATGATTTAAAGCCTTGCCTTGTGCAAGAATCAAGATCATTTATTGTTTCTAGTTCTAGTTGTTTCCCCCCACCACTGCAGTTCATCCAAGTATGTGAGTCTGCTTTTCCTGGCTTTGGTAACAAAGCTCTTCCCTCAGCGGAGCAGGGTCAAGTGTTAGAACAATGGTTTTCTTTTTCACTTAATAAATGCATTAATTATATTAATATATTAGTAGTAATGTATTAATATAAAATGCACTAATTATGTAATATATTGCTATAATAACATAAAATAATAACAGCTCATAAGAACAAGATGCTTTCTCTGGGCCGAGTTTGCACCATGTTCCAGATGAAGCACAGGGTGTGCGAGTGAACTGAGATGGTTTCAGTGCTCGATCTACTTTTCAGACCTTGGGGCATCGCTGAGGAGACAACGTGCTTATTATCAAGTTGCCTCAGTAGCAAATCACATTTTAGGCTAACTCGTGTCTCCACTTTCTCAAAATGGCTTAAATGAATTCAGAGGTGTTAATTTGGACTAAGTAGCAAGAAGCTTGCGCCAGATCCCTTATTCAAAGCATACAATCACTGCAAACACCTGAGCTTCTAAGTGGTAGGTGCACAAAGTCTGGATTGATGTGCTGAGCTAGGTGTACTGCAACAAGCTTAAGCCATTTTAAATGGATTAATACACTAGGATACATACAGTAGGAAAGACATTTTGGCCTCATTTTTAGTGAAGGATCATAGTCTTGTAATAATAAGAGATAGGCTATAGCTCAGCTTCAAAAAAGTTTTCTAAGAAGTTTCAAATTGATTTGGAACAGTCTGATTTCATTTAAATACTCCAAAAGTATTATGTGCAGAAGGACAAGAAGAGAATTTGGCCCAGAATACCCACAAGCTCTGTAGTATGGAGTAAAGCTCATGTTAATTCAAGCATATTTTCCATATTCAAAATAAAATTAATGATGTTTCTGACTTTGTTACCTATCAGAGTAGCATTTTTTGAGTACCTAGTGTGAGGAGTTTTCACAGGCTTCTGTAATTTTCCCCCCTATATAGGATATATAGGAAAATATACAAATAAATATATCTATGAGCGTTCCAAGTGGGATTATAAAACTCTGAAGCTGATTTCAGAATTCTGGGCAGAAGTTTCAGCCATTTTTATTCTGCAGGGAAGTCTGAGAAGTCCTGTTTCCTCCAAATAAGAATTTATATATTTTTAAAATTAAATATAGAAGTGTCTTATGAGTCAGAAATTGACATTTGCCCAACTGTCACTAAAGGCAATTGCTTTCCTCTGGGAAAGCATCCTGCAGGACTCCACCTCTCCTCTACCATCTGTTTCAGGTAATGAAAGCCCAGGAACGAACAAGAGTTGTTATGGGCTGGGTGTCAGTCCTTGAAGTTTCTGGAGATAAACAGCCACCTTTCATCTCTGGATATGTTTGGAAAGAAAAGAAAAAAATATGTTTCTTCATACAGCCAAAACAAGACACAGTTATGTGGCAAATGGAAGCTGTTGTTGGATGGAGCTGTATTTGAGAGAAAAAGGAAAGTTGAGAAGATGAGAAAAACGTCCCATTACCCAAACACACGGGGAATAATGGTGTTGAGGAGAGGAGACAGCTTCAGACAGATTTCTAACTGAAAGAGGCTTAGATAAGAAGCATAAGGAAATAATTGCCTGGGTTCAAGAACAGGACTTTTTACTTTTTAAAAAGATAAATAGAACTGTACCAAAATAACTAACTACAGCAGTAATATTTTTTTTTTAATTAGATAATTCACTACTGATCTGACAAAGAGGTAATGTGTCAATGAGTGAATGAGAAGTCTACATCGTCATGTGTGCAGCCTTATATGTGTTAGTACCAAGCCCTAAAAGAGATCACACCCTTGGTCTGGGCATCCTTTCCCATGTTTCTAGGAGAAAGTGAGGGAGGCGAATCAGATGAATGGGGTTGTGAAAAAAAAAGTGGTGATACCAAACTCCCAGAACAAGCCAGAGCATAGGGAGGCCAGCAGAACACTAACTGAATGAAGAGAGGAAAAAGAGAAAGGTAAGATATGGTAAGAAGGTATGATAAGAAAGGTAAGACACAGAAGCAGTTCTAAGTTTCAGACTTGTGATTAGATGTTTGCTTTTGGGAAAACATGCAAAAGTGTAGAGGCGACAAGGGTAGGTATCCAAGATTTTGAGGATAAAGACACAAACCTCTTCTAAAGTATGCTTGTACAATCCCAGTGAAAAGACTGTTGCTACCTCATTGCTTAAAGGGGAGCTGGGCTCTGCAAGTCAGCGCTGCTCTGGATTTAGCAAAACTCTATTTAAAAAAAAATATTTTATTTTTTAATAGCAGCATGAAGTGAATCTTGACTTTAGGTAAGATCTGTCAAGACGTAAAAGCAATGACATCTAAGCCAATCTTTCTTTTTAAGAAACAGTGCACATTGTCTACTGTAGTCACAGAAGGATGTGGATGACAGTGACAGCTAACTCTCCAACCCAACTCCTGGGAAATATGGAAGGTTTCAGCTATCTCATCCTTAAGTCACAGTCTAAGATGTGAGAAGTCCCATGTTAACTACAGAGTGTGAAAGACCTGAAATGCTGGACAACCTCAGGTTTTCTACGAAGGTAGCTGTCACTTTGTGCAACATTTGAGTGTTTGACAAGAAAGGTTGGAGTGGGTCCCTAGGTGCGCGGTGCAGCACAGTCTGGAAAACAAGAAAGCCTAGAAAAAGCTATCCTAGAGAGTAGGTTTGCCCATTGACTATAGTGCAGAACCGGCCTTACCCCAGCTGGACTTTGTCTGAGGAAACTCAACACAGTGTTTATCATCAGCTACAGTACCACATGCAGCATTTCTTACTGCTGTACATCCTAGACCATCTTTCTACCAGCCCGTAGTTCTGAAATTGGTTTCTAGCCACTCACGTGATTTCTGTATAGTGATGGTGGCAGGAAAATGGGACCAAATTTTGCTTCCATTTACTGCACTGGCAAGCTCTTTTAAACAGCTGTGCTTAGTTCATGCATATGTTGTACTTGTGTTTGCTTTCCAGGATCTCACAAGGCTATTTGGCCCTTTTGCTTCCCCTGTATCTCTTGAGTGGGAATTTACCTCTCCTTAGTCAGGGAGGGGAGGAGTCACCACAATGCATTTTTAGGTTAGAGCATTTTTTTGCTTTTCTGGGGAAACGTAGGTGACTACACTGGCTCAGGGGATGATCACTCAGCTATATAATACCTAAACACTGGGACAAACAAGGTGATACTGGGAAATGCTCAGGCAGTGATTTCAGAGTGATTACCACAGCCTGTGCTGGGGCTGGGGAAGCCGGGAAGCAGCTATGCAGCTGCTGCCAGCATCAAGCCCGTCCCTTCATCCCACTCAGGCAGCCACCCGGTCCTCAGCTGCAGCTGGAGATCTTCAATTGCTGCCAAATTATCTAGACATCAACACAGGGAGATGCCAGGCAGACCTTCTTTATTTTGTATGTCTCTCTGTTCACCTCTAAAGCACACGTAAAGATTCTCAAGAGCAGCCATTGAGTGAGTCAGTTCCCTAAAAAGAGCCTTAGTCGCAGCTCTGCCAAAGACCCTTCCCCGAGCCCACCTTTCAGTATCACAAACACATTTTACCCAAGATAAACATCAGCTGTGGCCAAAATAAAAGCCAAAGAGGAAGGCTCTGAAAGGGGCATAAAAAACCCTAACCTTTACACGGTTCATGATGTGGTATTAGCAATACGCTATCTATAATTTATCCACAAAGGTAACACTGGCTCTCAACAGATCCCAGGTGAGGGGGTCCTGGATGAGCCTCTGTTACTTGAAACATTCCTTCCGTAGCACACCTTGTGCCAGTAATACAGCAGCCAATGTATGGGTTGTACTTTACCAGAAAGTCCCTTGCATCCTTCTAGTCTTATCCTGCTCAGGTGCACCACATTTATGTCACTTTTCCTCAATAAACAGGGCAGAAAGCAGCTTTCAGTAGGGGATTTAGATGAATAGACTTAGACGGAACAGTTCTCCTCAGTGTAAGCAATGCCCTTGAAGCAGAGTTCGAGAGAATGGTTTTGTGAAGAGGTTGGTTTGGTTAGTTCTGCAGCCTTCCCTGCCCGCCCTGCACCCTTCCATCTCCGTTTCTTTCTTTTGAGTTAATTACTCGGTGTCAAATCAGCAACTGTTGCTCAGAGGTTCTCAAGTGTCACATATGACCATTTCTTCATTGCCATCCCTGCTGACAACCGTCTTTGTAAATATACTTCTAGCCTACCATAAAGCACCCTCCCATGTTGCAGTAGCAGGTAATCTGCAGTAGAACTGGGCAGTAACAAGATGCAGCATCCCCTAGGGTATTTTTCCTCCTCGTTCAAATAAAACTGAAAGTTTTGTAGCGCTATCAATAAGTCATGAAAACTGTACTCCCCTTGCTCGCTTGGTACTGCTTTTTGGAGCGAGACCATCTGTGGCAGAAGCCTCATTCCTAACATTTTCTGCCAGCTCCTGCAGTCTACCAGCCTGTACGTCTAATACTGTAGCATGGTGTTGGCACTTACCAAACTCCTCTATTTAGCAAGAGTCTAACTGGGTAATGATAGAAATAGCAGAGTGGTAAAACACATGAATTTATGATAATAACTCATTATTGTATGTCTATTGCTTCACACTTCAGTTACATGAAAGGAAAAGCAATGTTTTTCATGCTCTGTTCTGACGACTTACTAGGTAGCACCACGTGCAGAAAGATACGTCAAACAGTGGGAAATAAAACTACTACAATGAGACAGAAAGAAGGGAATTATTTATCAAATTAATACTATAAACAATGCAGACAGAGTCCATTCACTCCCTCCCCTCTGCTTTATGGCAGGAAAATGAATTTCCAGGCAGCCTCTGCTCCAAACACTGGTGTCAGGGCAGCATTAGAAGAATATTGAGGTAAATTTTGGGATCACTGACCAAGATGCTGTAGGTACAGGACTGGAAGGTGTGTTGAAGCAATGCCATTTGTTCTGGTCCTCTCCTCTAGCTGTCAACTTAGCTTTCCATATTATTTTTCTTATCTTCCAGGAAAAACTATTCAGACTATGATAGTCTCAGAAAATGTGCAAGATCAGTGTGTTGTCAAACACTGTTCACAGTTTGCTCAAGAATCAGTTCTCGTCTTTTAAAACAATGTTTCTCAGGAAGATGTGGGGAGAGAGAAGGAAGAAAATTCAGAGACATGGGGAATAGTCTTAACGTGCAAAATTATTAATATCCTGGAATAGAACACATTCAACCCTTATTTCAAAGGGTGAGGAGGTAGGAATGGTGAGGACTGGATTATTTTTAAGAGGAAGGCTCAAGCAAATGAAAAAAAAAAATGTAGTCTAAGAAACACTGCATTAGAAGAACAGTCTTTGCATCATGCAACAAATACAAACATATTCATCTTTACTGATTTTAAGCTCTCAAGTAGTTATTGCCACTAAAGAGTGGGTTTGGCATGACTTGGAAGTGAATTAACACTGTTTTCTATGCCTGCTTTCTAAACATTTTGCCAAATAGACCTGCCATTCCTCACATCCTCTATTCTGGCTCCCATTTTACCTGCCTGGCTGCATTGCCAAACCCCTTCTCATGTAGCAGTATTTCCAGTAGGCAGAGTGGCTTTTACTCACTGAAAGCTGAAAGATGCTTATGATTCCCAGATTAAGCTTTCTCTGCTGCAAGCAAAAAAAAAAAACCAACCAACCCTGAGATATTGTGTTTTCTTAAAGATATTAATATACAGTTACTGCAGGGTATAATATTTTGATGATTTATAATTTTGTGACTTTACTGATTGAAATTATTATTTCTGTCATCTATGATCTTTCACATTATAATATTTTGATGATTTATAATTTTGTGACTTCACTGATTGAAATTATTTCTGTCATCTATGATCTTTCACACAGAACCTGTCAAGTCACTTCAGAAAAAAACCCGCATACAGATGTATCAAAGTTTCCAGAAGAGACCAATGCACTTCTATAAACCAACCTACCAGACTGAATAAATATTTTGCTTTTAGTTCTCTATCTACTCAGTCAAAAACAACAATATGTCATTAATTCAGCAGTTGTGTGGTCTTTGCTAGTTCCAGAAAATTGTGTTTACAATGTACTTATTTTTACTTTCTGTGAGAGAAGAGAAAGAAAGTATACACTGTAGTATGCTTGTTCAGTCCTTCTGGAGAATCTATATTTTAAAGAGTGGAAAAATATAGCAGAACATATCTGGATAAACTCTGTAATGTCTCAGAAAACTTTGCATCTTTGGCTAATCTAGCCAGGATTTCTGCAGGTCTCTGATAAAACAGCAGAGATTCATCAGTCAAATCTGCTATCCTGAAGGTGGTTGCAAGGAAAAGATCAAATTGGGCAAATTAAACGACCGTTTACTTCACAACAATAGCTGCAAAAGCAAAATCACCCTATCCAGTAGGTGTAAAAACAATGATGATGTTTTGGTAACCTCAACACTTTAAACAGCTCAATGACAACACATTACAGCTGCCTCACAGAAACACAGAAATCAGTAGCTCCGTGGTATGTGCTTCCAAACCGAGCAAGAGCTACTTATCCCAAATTCTGAGGCTGTTTTCCTTGCATATTTAATTAACAGAGACTTTCACTAAGGAATGCTGGAACAAGTTGCTGTGGTTTTGTGGTCTTGTAAAATCATTTTACCTTAGCATGTGTTTGCTGTAAGGAGGACGTACACATTCTCTATACTGATACGCTATCAAGGACATATTCAAGGTATCTACTGCCTTGCCAAGCTAAGGCATTAAAGAAACCCAAACTTTATCCCAACAGAGGAGAAATAACAGAAATAATTAAAAAGTAGCATGGGGACCAAACAAGCACAGAGAGCTTGAAACCTTTTGGATATTTCATTGGGAGCATGCAGAAAGCCTATCTGTTCCTTGCAGAATACTTGTAGTTTTTTCGCTTGTGTACAGTAAGCTTTTTTGACAAATCCATAAATTATGTTTCTCTTTTCAAACAAGGCAGTAAATACAGCAAGTACTGTGAAAATCATGCTAACCTTTAACTTGCAATTATAAAAACAAATTATCTAACTGAACATTCGAAGTTAATGCTGTAAAATACCATTTTTTTTAAAAAAAACCAAACCACCCTAGTCTTCTCTTTCCAAAATAATTCCCCGTCTGCCCAGAAAACAGCAAATATCTTCAGCACCAAAATGTTTGGAATTACAAAGATTTATAAAAGCAAATTTTTAGCCATAATAATGAACTAACTTTTGTCCCTATATTTTCTTTAAAGTTGTTCCTCCAATGCAATACATGAACAGAAAATAACGTTTCTTAAGGCAAATCATATGAAGTCCAGAATTTTATTCTGGCTTTAAAAAACACCTACAATTAGCTAAAACATAATGTTTTAAAAAAATCCTTGCTTTGCTTTATAGCTAGAGTTTTGAACTTGGATATAATTACCTGGTCAGTTCTCAAAAGTTCCTACCTACCCGTCTTCCTTCAATTTGGATCCATTTTTGCCAAGATGCACTTTCATTTACTACAATATTTGACTGAATGCAGGTTTGTCTGTAAAAGTGCCTGCTCCTGATACATTTACTGATGGGAATAATTCCATGATTTCAATAGGGGTACTATAATGAGACGAAGGAGTACCTTGCTGTGTGCTACAGCCAGGCAGAACTGGGCTTGGGATGCCCTGAAAACCTGTCTTGTAATCTCACAGATGTTTCTTTTACAATATTTCAGCCTGGTTACTATAGAGGATTGGTTCTTCCCTTCACCAAACTTGAGAAGGGAGGCAGGAATTTTCCCTATTTGTAATTAGAGTGATGGTGTTACAGGTAGGATAAAATAAACTGCCATCGCAGCTAAGACGTGTATTCCGTGCAAAGCTTTTGCAGTAATTATTTGTCTATAGACAATTTTATGAGATTGAGGGAGAAGCCTTCGTTATTGCTCCCTGTCTCGCATGCGTGACGTCTCCACGAGCAGTGACACATGCTTAGGCTTGTGCTACCACCAGAGGCTGGAAAGCTGGGCCAGATGTGGGGCTCGGTAAAACCAGCTACATCTTCTGAAGCCGTTTGCAGCTTCTGCAACTGAATCGTGGGGACTTCCTCAGTTCTCACAGCAACCCAAAAATGTGATGAGTACAAAGGACTTGAAAACACCAGAACCCTCCTCTTTCCCCTAGCTTCCTCCTTTGTACAAGACCCCTGAGAATTACCTCATTAGCCATGATCTAAGTGCCTCTTAAGAAATGTTTCCATTTATTTCAGTGGTATCTGGATTGGGACTTTTAGTTGCTCCAAGACATTTCTCATCTAACTCATCCACTTTTTTAAAAACAGGAGAAATTCTGGTTTCTCCAGGGAAAAAGAGTCATGACCAAATGAGCATCAAAGTATCCAGAAAAAGCCGAGCCAGAACTACAAGAAGAAAAACCGAAGAGTTGGCTTCTGAAGAATTGGATAGATTTATGAAATGTACTTCATCATCTTTTGATAGGAATGTGCTAAAAATACTCAATGAGCTCAATACATTACATTAAATACATTTCTATTGGAAGTAGTCACATCCTGTTTGTTACGGAGAAAAGTGCTGCTATATACAAATGAAAATAGTTTTCTGCCTGAAAAAGCCAAATCATTTCAGCAATAAGAGCTTGGCACACGGGGTGGAGAAAAAAAAGTGCAACTAAAACTCAAAGATAAAATACTGTACAGATTTCCACCACATTAAACAATGTAGAAGAGCATTCATTTATGTTTACCATGCTTGTGGACCCTAACACCTGTATTAATATTCAGGGACCATCAGTGATACCGAATGTATTTTGTTGTACTACAAAAAGAGGTTTTTTCAAAAGCAAATGGTGGCTCTGTGGATGCTTTCAGGGTTTGTGTTAAAGAGATGCTGTGCACCTGGAATGGGATCAAGAAAGGCAACAATAAAAGACCGATTTTTGTAAAAGTGTTCTGTTGTACTAAGTAAATGTCTGTTTACTTGTTAACATATGTGTGGTTTCTTCTCCCTAACCTTTCAAAAAAGCGGCCTTCTGTTACTCTCTGGCAAAAGTTAAGGGACAGAATTAGAATGCATACGTATTACACCACAGTTAAGTTACAAATACGATTGCTTTGCTTTAATGTAATTTTTGTGATCTGCCAACTTATAAAAAACAATTTTCTCTTATTTTAACTCAAATAACTGTAAAAGGCTGGAGAATTTCCATAGCACTTTGCTTTTTTTCTTACTGACTGGCCAGACAAGACTGAGAATTGCAACATTTGTTATTTTTTTAAATGTGTTTAAAAAGTGTTACTTCTGCCAATGCTTGGTTATAATTAAAATAAACCCCTTTGACTTGACAAAAATTAAATAGGCAAGTATTAATGACCATTTGTCCGAGGTAAAATTGATTCAAGGGATCATTCCTTCAATACGCCTTTGAATTTTTTTTGAGCTTCTCTCCTTCATTTCTCCTCAGAGTTTCTAAACTACGCGTGGTCATATAATCCACTATGCAGCAGGCTATACCATTCCTGAAGGCCATCTTCCTTAAAGGTACATCTCGATGAGCACTTGCCTTATTTCCATAGCCGTATGATTTGTGATAACGTGGTCTCCTACTTGCGGTTTAACTAAAAGGCTGCTGATAAACCATCCACTGACTACACATGCCATTACAGCTTTGATTTCCTTTTCTTCAATTAATAGATGTGTTCACAATAGTTATCTAAATAAAGAGCCAGACATACCAGCACAGGCCAATTTTTTACTTATCAGCAAGAGATAAACATGGAATGCAAATCAATCCAAGTTAAGCCTATCTAAAACCTAGGACAGAGCACCTAAACCCATCTTTTGCTCACTATCCCGACGCCCCAAGCTAACTCCAGGAGTTACACAAGAGAGGATCTGAGGAGCGTATTCTCATTATACCAAGTCAGCAAGACTCTTTTTGGTACTTCACTGATAAAACTAATCACTGTGAACTCTGCACCTGCAACAAAAAGCAAACTGTAAGACTCATTATTTCCCAAGGGGAATGACACAGCAATGCTTTTTACTTGGTTAGCCTTAAGCATATAACACGACACAGGACAGTTATCGTCAATGGCCAGTGGACCAGTTCTGATTAAATTACATGAGAATACATTCAGAGAAACTCAGCTGAAGTCAAAATTCCACTGGCAAATAGTGTTATAACTGGACCTAAGGAGAAAGACAGATGATAGATCCATAAATATAACAGTAAAAAAAAAAAAAAAAAAAAAAAAAAAAAAGTCTGTTTCTTCTTTTAAAAAACCCAAACCTTAAAATAAAGGGCAGTGGTAATACTCTGAAACTCTTTTTTTAAGCTTTGTGGTCTCACTTGCATGTCTGTTTCACAAAGGCAATGAAACGATTTTACTTAGATGAATTAGACTGGCACTTTCCTTGTTCATGATGTGGTGTCAAAACCTTAACTTCAAATGAAACGGAAAAATTGTATGTCATATGAATAATTTAATGATTAAAAAAAATCCGAATAAACAAACCCTACCAGTGATACCTTTCTGTGAAAATTCATGGGTTTTTTTAATGCTGTTATTTCATGTTTAAGTGAAAATTTATGTTTTAGGAGAAATATAATAGAGGACAAAAGAGTCAGAGAGAGCTTTTAGCTGTTAGGCATCTACAGTTCTAGATAGATATATAACATGCATCCATCCCTTATATTTTAGGATGGTACTGCCTCATGAAAAGAAGGCAACAAAGATGTTATTACTTAAAAAACATCTGTTTAATATCTATTAATTTCCCAGAATCTTGCAGAAATTATGAGAATATTTTAGAACAAATTGTGGCATCATGGACCTATAGAGTTGCAGTTCTGCCTGATTTTTTCATCCAGGAGTTTTTAGACACGTAAACACCACAAAGAGCACTGGGAACTACGCGACACCGATGCTTTGTCATACAAGACGAAGCTCATTTCTGCCCGCTGTATCTGTTAGGTCTACCACCTCTCTCAAACCAACGCAGAAACCCATGCAGGCTAAGTACACATTCAAGACTAGGAAATAATGCATACAATATTTTAAAGGATTAGAGGAAAAAGTAGGACCGATAAAAGAAGTCAAGAGATTAGATGGCCTACTGGGATAATGACTTGAGCTTTTAATAGTTTCTGTAGCCTGCGGTACAAAAGCAGCACACAGACCTGCCTTACACTGAGATAATTCAAGTCCTGTAGATAGAGGTCTAGCAGAGAGAATAATGTCAGAAACAAGGCTCAGACTCATAGTTCTGGATCTATAGAAGATGCATTTTAGCTCTGTCACCAAACCTATTCTGGGATGTGACAGTGAGCAGTTTGCATTTTCACAGGGCAGCGTTGTAGTAGTTGTCACTGCATTTGTCAATTTTAAGAAATAAAATTCATTTCCCTAAAGTTTTGTAAAACCCTTGATCTTTCGCTATGCACCCCAGCCTGTCTTGTTCTCCATATGTGTTCTTGGGATCAACAGACAGTTGAGGTATTTGGTGGACCAGCCTACACCCTTTATCATATCTCTTCTGTCCTTCCTTGTCATCTGTGTTTTCGTCCTGGTTGATCTGTTCTTTACAAACTTAAAGCCTTTTCCTAGCTGCCCCCTTGATTCTAGTGTACAGTTCTTGCTAAATTAGCCAGTTTCATTCATATGACAAAGTGATTAATTTGCTTCAGATCTGAGCAAAAAATAAATACAATGATAAAAGAAGAAAGTTTTCCTTATGTCATAAGATGTACTGTTGAAAGAGTTACGAGAAAGCATGGAAAAACCTATCTGTGTATAATAAGGAAACACTCAGATGTTCTTGACAATTTAATAGATAAATGTGAATTTTATATATTATTTCAGTCAGTCAGGACTTTTAATATGCAAAAGTCACTGGAGGATTGAACTGGAAGTCTGTATATTTTAATTCTCATGTTTTTCCTTGATGAGATCTAGTAAAACATAAAGATGGTTGACATAAAAGGCTATTCCCCACAAATAGCTTCCCAAGAAATATAAATACAAGGAAATTAAGCTCTTCAGGTTGTAAGCGGCCTGCGCTGAAAATGTTGAGTGTCTTTATTTGTTACACGAGTCTGAGTTGTAAAAAAAAGAATTGCTGCCACTTGCACTGCAAATGATTCAGATTTATACAACGGACTAATTTAGTAGAAAAGGAAATACGGTTCTTCTGTACTAGGTACTGAGTTATATTATGCTTTTAAAACATATAAGCCCAGAGGGATATTAAAATGTTAATTTGGATAGTATTTAAAAGGTAATTACTTTTATACAATAAAATAAGAGGTCTACTGAATGCTAATCCCTGTTTTGCTTTCTTTGAACTAATGCTACAGAAAATAGAGAATCCATTTGTTTAAGCGATTTTAATTTAGATTCATGGAAGACATTCTCATCTACAAAAAATTCTGGGTTTTTTTGCATTTGACTCATTTAAAATCCTTACTGTATAAAAATTAACGCTAAAGAAAGGTACCTACACTTGTTAGGTAGCACTAAACTGAAAGAATGAGACACGAGAAATCTTAATGACTCTGCTGATGCAAGGCTGGTTGGGTTTGTTCAGCACAAGCACTGCTGCAGAGAACACTGGCTCAGGCCCTGCTGAGCAGGTCGAGACTGATCGCTCCTAAGCTGAATCCAAGCGGATTTCATCTATTCAAACCTTCTAAGGGAAGGGCAAACGCTCAAAAATTTTAATTGCATTTCAGTCCAGAGGACATTGCTCAGGCAAGAAAGGATATTTTGTCCAATTTCTTGAATAACATAATCTAAATATGGATTTGCTTCTATTTCTGTTTAAAGAAGTCATATAGCATATTGACCAGGCAATCCTCTGGCATTAATCTTGTTTATCAAAAATGGATGACCTAACATTTTTTTTTTTAAAAATCCAATATCTTGGCTAGTGTAGTCAAATTTATTTTAATTTATAAACAAAATAATTTTAAATGTTTGGATCTTACTTTCATTCACACTCATTTTATTTGTTTCCTTGCAGGGGTGCATATATAAATACTATATAGTTTTGTTCTTTTCCTTCAAATATTTTTTCCCATAATTTGCAGACCATTTTCAGAGTTTTTACTGATAATAATAGTTCAAAGGCCACAGGCTAGGAAAGACTGATCTACAGCTTCTCAACCCAAACATGCTTTAGATAAACCAGACCTTTAGAATACATATTTGGCATCTATGTTACACCTCCGATAACCTGTTCAATGCACAGAGGGCATCCATCTCGGGACATCCACACAAAACAGTATCTAGACATTCTATAATAAGCTTTGCTTATACAAGTGTTTTCTTGCTTTTTCCTCTGTTGTGTCAGTGCTTATT